AAATTAAAACAGTGAACACTACACTGCAAATATGACCATTGTACAAAGTATTATACTAGTGGTGAGATGAAATAAATTGTAATAATGATGTCCGAAAGTTAGAATACAGGTGAAATTAGTTAATGACAAAAATAATAGTGATATCATCAATACGATTTTACCCTTTTTTTTCGTATGATTAACCAGGTAAGCCAAAACAATTTTATTAATTCGTGGGGCCAAAAATGAACGTTACAATTTTACCTCTACTTCTCGTTTTGGGCCCTTTTCTGCCATTACAGAGGTCCCATTCCTTGCACCAATCTTCTACATCCCGTCGGCAATTGACCCAATAAAATTTTTCCCGAACTCGTGCAAGTGTCCTTTTAGTACCAAAGTGTCCTCCTGAACGACTGCTATGAAGCTTCTCCAATACATTTCTGACCTGTGATTTCGGCAGAATCACTTGACGGACTACATGTACTCCATCGGGTCTCTCCCACTTGATTCTTCCGCAATTAAAGCATCTTCTGCTCTCATATCGACTATTTCGTTGCATACTTTGTAGGATATTTAAGATTTGTGTGAGGGTAGGTTGAGGGATAGTACTAGTGGTAGCCTCTTCGCTTTCTTGAAATCGAATTTCTCTCAATTTTGCGCGAGAAGATCTAGATATAGTTTTTGCTGCTTCGTATTCCTGTGCTGCAATAAGTGTCTCACTCAAGGTCTTATGGTGTTGTAGCCGAAGAGCCTGCTGCATTTCCACATCCTGTAGTCCATCAATGAATGCTTGCATGCCGATTTGCTCTAAGAAATCTTTATGTGCCTGTGGATAGGCCAGATGCAGTAATCTTTTAATATTGGCTTCGAATTCTTGTAGACTCTCATTGTGTTTCTGACTACGAACTTTTAGCTGACTTTGGAATACCTGTTTCAAATGCTGCTGGCCACATCTTGTCTCCAAAGCTTGGACGAGAGATGAGTAACTGGGTTCTCCTTGGGGAAGTAACTGCAAAATAGTTGCTGCCTGACCTCGCAATGACACTATCAATGAAGCCGCCATCTCTTTCTCGGTCCAGCCATTGGCTCTAGATGCAGCTTCAAATTGGAGTCGATATGTTTCCCATGTTGTCTGACCATCAAACTTTGGTTTTGTGAGACTGGGGCTTGAATACGGCTTGGGTCGGTTACAGATGAAGAAGAGGTAGTGTTTTCAGCTTGAATGTTGCTTACGGAAGTTTGGCTACGAATTCTTCTCTAACTCGGCTATTTCGCTCTAATTTGCCTTTCCAATTCTACTCTAGCCTCTTCTTGTTGTTCTAAATTAGCTTTTAAATTTTCTTGTTGTTGCTCTAAATTAGTTTTTAGGTTCTGTAAATTGTTTTTTAGATTCTCTTGCTGCTGTTCTAAATTAATCGTTAAATTATCTTGTTGTTGTGTTAATAGATCTACTCTGCTGTTTAGCTGACCTACCTCTTGCTTAAGGTTATCTTGGATTTGCAGCAAATTATTCATAATTTCTACCTCAGCTTTTCTACGCCTCTCTTCCCTCTGCTCTTCTCGCCTTTCCTTTTCCTCTTCTCGCCTTTCCTTTTCCTCTTCTCGCCTCACTCTCTCCTCCTCTTCTTTCTTCTTACGCCGTTCCTTTTCCTCTTTTCGCCTTACTCTCTCTTCTTCCATCTTCAAAAACCATGCTGGTGGGCCTGAAGTATCCATTCCTGTTTCGTACTCAGTGGATCTAGTATTTACCATGAACTTTTACTTTGTATCCCACCGCTGTCACCAATGTTACACTGGTTTTTGGTATCATAATTTATTTCAACTGAACTTTACAATAAATTTAATTCAACTTTGACAATAACTTTACAACTGATAACATTCACGTATAACGTCTATCATAAAAATAAAACTTTGACGTCAGGTCGTCGACTTATATAGCTTGTTGACCTTCTCGAACCTTCTCGAAATGTCATCTAGAATGTTATTGACGTGTAATGACATTTCTGGAATATTCTGTCTTCTTTTACTTGTACTTTTACTTATGACGAGCGCAGCACACTGTAGAGCGATGAGTAACATTCCACTTCTTCTTCTGTCTGTACGTTTCCTATGATAGCCACAGGCTACTACAGGGTGCTGCGTAACAATATTATACAGATATAAAGCGATGCGTCTCTGACGTCTGTCGCAGTCGCTTCTCTCGGTCTCGTGTTCCCAAGTGGTACCTTTATATTAAACGACATATTTTAAGTCGGTATGGATGTTCTTTCTTAATACGAACCATGCATCCTGAAGTCGCGTATTCACCAAGTGAAAAACAAGAAACTATCAAACCCCAGCTAGCATTCATTATTAATAATTTTGGTGGGAGTACCTCTCACAACCAAACTTATATGGAATCACTCTCTATTTCTGACCAAACTTTGGTAACCAACTTTAAGACAAGGCGTTTTGTTCTAAACTATAATAAAGAAGGAACGACTGATGCGATTTAGTATCTTTTTTCGTTCAATGGTAAAATCACGATTCTTCTGTAATTGTGTTTCGGCCCAAAGAAATAAAAAAATGTCTTATGTTGGACTAACAGATGAGTAGAGGGGAAGAATTATTGCTCTCATTGAACAAGGAATGCACCAAAGAGACGTAGTGTAAAGCTAGTAGGCGTTACCCAGGGTGTTGTATCGAAAACATATGCAAGGTACTTGGAACTAGGAACTGTCAAGAATATGCCCAGACAAAGTCGTCAAAGAGTCACAACTGAATAACACGACTGATTTGTGTGTCAAATTGCTAAAAGAAATCCCAGTATTTATTATCCAGAGTTGCAACGACAACTTTTAAAAGTTACAGGTGTAAACGTTGAGACCATAAGAAAAAGACTTCGCTAATGGGTTGTAGAGTAGGAAAGAGTAGAGATCCAACAGTTATCTAGGCAAAATAAAATTGAGCGGCTAAATTGGTGCCTTCAACACCAAAACTGGACAGTTGAGAATTGACAAAATGTTCTTTTTTTGGCAAAGACCAGAATTTGCCTAAAATCAGATGATCATCGAATTCGGGTTGTCAGAGCTCCAGGAAGACGAGCGAGACTCTTGGCTGTCCCAAGATATCAAGGAGGAACTATAATGTTTGGAGAGCTGTTATGCTGGGAGCAAAAACTTCATTGTTACTACTTCAACAAACTTAAATCGGTGAAAAGTTTATTAATTTAGTGCTAGAACCAATAGTTAGGCTTTGGAGAGCTGCAATTGAGGATAATTTTATCTTCGTACACGATAATGCATACCAGTAGAGTGGCTAGAGAATGTCTTGGAACGGAAGGTGTCACAGTTTTAGATTGGTCCGCATGTTTTTCAGACCTAAATTCAAAAGAAGGGTTAGAGCTCGTCGAAATATTGCAGGAAATGTTGCACAGCTTATTGATGCAGCATTAGAAGAATGGGAAAACATACCCCAAGATAATGTTGACAATTTAATAAGTAGCATGCCAAATATGGATATAGAAGCTTGCATAAGGGAGAGAGGTGGCAACACGGATTATTAAAATTACCAATTTTTGTTTTGTTTTACTTATTGGTCATTTAAAAATATACTGTTGTATGTATTTTGTCAATAATTAATTTTTTTTATTGCTGTAGGGGTACCTTTTATTAAAAGTTTTTGGTCAGAAGTTTTATTTATAATCAAAAAAAGTTAATACTTCTCAAATATTAAAAATTATAGATGAGTTCGTATAAGTTTGGTTGTATGTATTATGAATGATGAGTGCTCGCTCGCTCTTGCTTGTTCGTGGGTGCTTTTTTTGTGAATACGCGGCATAATCAGCATTTATTTAATCGAGATATGATGTTATGTTGATAATAAGGTGTTAATACACTGCGACCTAAAAGATCTATTGTGCCCCCTTCTGTCGCCACTGCACTAAGGAAATGTCTCAATGCCTATAGCGACCCTTTCAATCCTATTTTCTCAAGGAAGTGTAGGATTTGAAGTGGCTAGTGGCTTCAAGTTAGGTGCCCTTGGATTCTGGAGTGCTACACATTCAGTTAGGATGTGAATGGAGGTTTCGTCCTCCTCCTCACAGAATCTGCACTCACTATCCTCTACTACTCTTAGTTTACTTAGGTGTCCTTTTAGTCGGCAGTGTCCGGTAAGGATCCCTGTTACAATACGTAGCCTGTTCTTGCTCAGGCAGATGCAGGCTTCCGATCTTTTTTGGTTATATTCACCCAGAAGTATCTTGGCCTGTCTCAGCCCCAAGAGATTGTTCCAATTATCGGTTCTTCTACTACCCAATTCTTTTTTAATCTCTTCTAATATTATGTTACTGCTGATACCGCAGAACGGCTCAGGTCCTACAAAGGGTGTTTGAGCCCCTCTCCTTGCAAGACTATCTGCAATCTCGTTACCCTGTACCCCGTTATGTCCCGGGACCCAAGTGAGAGTAACTCTATTTTTCTCGCCTAGCTCATTCAATTGTTCTAGGCATCTCCATACCATTTTTGAGCTGATTACGTAAGAACTCAGCGCTTCGATGGCTGCTTGACTATCGGACATGATGATAATCTCTTGTCTATGATAGTTTCTCTCGATGTTAAACTGGATACACTTCTCGATGGCGTGAATTTCCGCCTGGAAGATGCTTGGGTATTTTCCCAAGCTTTCGGAGTGCTTGGTTCTCGGCCCATACACTCCTATTCCAGTTCCTTCTATGGTTTTGGAACCGTCGAGATATGATACCACAATCTAATTTTTATCTGAAGTTGGACAATCATTTTTGTTCTTTGTAGCACTACATATGTGTAAGTATATGATATTATTTTTTCTATACTGATCCGAGATTACATTCAAATTCATAATACGTATTTGTATTGTCTTATCTCTGAAATCAAAGTTTTAGTTACGTAAATGGAATACCTATCTATTATTAATTGTATTATTAATAAGTGTTTCTTAATTTACGCTGAATATATCGCATATTTATCTATGTCTCAATAATGCATTTTAAGATTATTTTTGATAATAAAAACATTAATTGGTAGGTAAGATATATAAATCGATGAATAAAGTAAAATTTTGTCAATCAAAATGCATTCTTTATTAGCAATCTGGTCCGTCTTCATTTGTTTTACAGCAACCAATGCCTTTGCGATAAATGGTAAGTTAACTAAATAAAAGATGTTTGAAAGTACTATACCTGTTTATTTTCGCAGGCGCATCACTTTGGCTAGATTTTGAAATAGGTGAAAAATCGTATTCTATAAATGGTGTACTAGTAAGTATATTATTCATAATGATATATGTGTATTTTTTTTATAAAGTATGAGTGTTGTTTTAATTCCTATTTATAAAAATATTGGCACAAGTTAATTTAGTATGCTTTGTTGTTTTAGTAAAACAACCCTAGAATACTGGACTGTGTTAAATAAACGTTATTACTGGACTATCGTATTTTTTACGAAGAACAACAATAGCGTTTACTTAATAAAGTACAAATGTAATATTAAGGATCTTGCAGTATTAGACTAAAAAAAAAAAAACGGTTCAGGTAGAAATCTTTTAATCTCTCACAGACATGGCATATATCACCTGGTGTTCTTCACACATTGGTTGCTTGCACTGGTTACAATATAATTGAAGGCATTTTCGCAGACCATTTATAGCCTTTTCTTTCAAAGAAGCCCTCTTAGGCTTATATTATGTATTGAGATAAGGACGTATCATTTTCTGATGTGTCTGGAATTTCTTCATTTATTCCATGTATGGCACTTTTATCGTCATCATGAAAAATCTAATTCATACTCTACATTATCCCCTTCCGCTAGAACACTTTCGTTACCTGAATGCTCTTCAATTTCATATTCTACATTGTCCTTCTCCCAACTACTACCGCTGTCTTCAAAAGGATCCGGCTCGCTTTCCTCTATACTATACGCTCCACTTCAGCCTGTATATCTTTGTCAGATAAATTTGTTCTAGACATTTTCTGAAAAAAAGTGACTATAGTTATAATAAAGTTCAAAATAATACCTCACCTTACCTTTCAAGAAAAAACACACATCCTTTCTATTTTATAACCGATGAAAATTATCAGATAATAGGGCGAAAACTGTACTTGACTACTTACTTTCATAAAATTTACGACGTCTTGGCAAACTACCACATTAAGGGGTAAGACATCAACTATCTGTACTACTAGGCAATGACTAAACAGGAAGGCACTAAGAAGCGCAGAGCGATTCATGATCTAGAAGTAAAAAAAAAATGACATACACTGAGACGCGTAGTAAAATTTACGAATGTCAATTATTCTAAGGTTGAGGAGTTTGGTGGGTCTGTGAGAGACGCATTAATTTCATCTCCAAATAATAGATCATGTATCTTTAAATAGTTACCATTAAGCAGTTATCGGGTACATGTTGTTTTGTATTTACCTAAAGGCTTTCGTATTATTTGTGAGTAAAACTCTCTGTTTAAATTTAAAAGTAAGAGGATTCTTATCATTTCGCTGAGCCTATCTAGTAAATAATGATATTTTTGCAACAAATTTTGTCTTTTAGACTAGTTGTTTTACAGAAAGTATACCTGATTGTAATTTACATCTCTGTGCTCATCAGCCAGCCTACAGATTTAATGTAGTTGACAGCGTCGAGCAATCGTAAAGGATATGCTCGATGGTCTCATCTTCCTGTTCGCACCCTCTGCAGAATGCGGATGCTGACAGCCCCATGATATGGAGATACTTTTGTACTTGAAAATGACCAGTCAGACTGCCTGTTACTAGGCGCAGATTCTGTCTAGTTTGCTGCAGTGTTGTCAGGATAACTTAAGAGCTCCCTGTCAACCCTGCAGTTTCTTGTTTCATCCCATCTTTCCTTGAATTTCACAAGGGAATGTTCTTTAATTAGGTCTGTCACTACCTATTTTGTTAGGCCAATAGAAGGACCAGGTCCAAAAAGTATTTGGTTGGCTGCTTTCTTGGCTAGTGAATCAGCAAGACGGTTAACTTTCGATGTGGCGTGACCCTGAGCAAATTCGTGGTCTATTCAGGGTGAGTAGTGCTTGTGTGCTATCTGTATAGATGATTATGTTCCTTCCAGTGATATTGTTTCTGGTTTATTTCTTTTGCTGCTATGAAAATCCCATTAGCTCTGTTTAAACTACACTGGTACTATTGCTCACAGCCCATTTTATATTTAGATTTAAGAATCTGGAGTATGTTCCACATCCTGAGCCTTGTTTTGTTTTAGAACCATCGGTGTAGATATAAATCGCCACTTCTGGCTCTTCTATTTGTTCTATTATAACTTTATATGGCTTATGAAAGATATATTTTGGTGAGATGGAGTCCATGTTCGCTTGAAGCAGTGGGAGCGTATCCAGCGCCTCCTGCCAAAAGTGACGTCTCGCCTCACCAGATCCTACATCAGGTTCTATTCCGACCGTGCGGAGGCGTGTCATTGTCGTCAGAGCAACCTCCTTGATGTAAATATTAAGGAGAGTGAGATTAAGAATGACTTCCATGGCTCTAGTCGGTGTTGTTTTCATGGCTCCTGTTATGTTGAGACATGCTGTTCTTTGAATTTGTTCTAGGTTACGAATAGCTGTTAATTTTTGGGTTTTCGGTACCCAGATAACTGCACCGTATGTTAGCATAGGTCTTATGATAGCCGTGTAAGTCCATGCGACGACTCTGGGGGAGAAACCCCAAGTGCGCCCCACGGTTCGGCGGCATTATTCGTTTCATATTAACTTGGTGTCAAAGGCGAGACCTAGGTTCTTCACCTCTGTTGCAAAGTTTAGTTTTGTGTTTATGAGTTCTGGAGGTTTTAATTCCATTTTCAACCTTTTCCTTGCGAAAAGGACCATTTCTGTCTTCTTAGGATTGATAGACAGTCCTTGCACCACTGTTCTATAATTTTTAGAGCTACTTGCATTCTTTCGCAGAGTATGTTCTCAAAATTCCTTGTTTGCAGAATGACCAGGTCATCTGCATATTTATTGGGTAGTGACTTTTATTATTAAGGCGGCTGATGAGGGTGTCGAGGACCATATTCCACAGTAGAGGTGATAACACCCCACCCTGTGCACATCCCCTCGCAACCAAGCCTCTTATATTCACATCTTCTACACTTATGTTTACTGCTTGCTTTGAGAGCATGTATATACCCACTAACCATTTGTGGAACATTCCTATTGGTTAGTGAGTGTATTATCTTTGGCAAGGTGGTTTTATCAAAAGCACCTTCTATGTCTATAAAAACACCCAAGGCGGACTCCTTATTGTCCAGGGATCTTTCTATCCGGCCAGCAACTAAATGAAGGGTGGAATCAGTAGATCTGTCTGGGGTGTATGCATGTTGATTTGGGTGTAGTGGTGTTGTTGTAATCACCACATGCCTTATGTACCTTTCGCATAGCTTTTCCAATGTCTTCATGGAAAACGATGTCAAATCAATTGGTCGGTATGTTTTTGGAACAGTGTAATCCATCCTTCCAGGTTTGGATATAAATACCAGTGTTACCTCTCTCCATTTTTTGAGGATATACCTCAGAGCCAACGAGGATCTGAATATACCCACCAGGTGCGGTGTGAGTTCTTCCAGACCCCACTGAAGTAGGGCTGGATAGATACCGTCAGGTTCTGGCGATTTAAATGTAGAGAAGCTGGATATTGCCCATCTAATTTTTTTATCGTCTACAATGTGTTTGACAGTTTGCCAATCATAGACAGATGGATTGTATTCTTTCTCTGCCCAGTCCGCCACGTCTGTGATGACCGAGTCAGGGAAGTGTGTTGACAGCAGAAGTATAATGCAATCTTCGAGGTTGGCAGTTTTCGTGCCATCCTCTTTGATTAGCGCACCAATGCTTCGGTGTGGATCTTTTGAGAGAGCTTTTTGAAGCCTCGCTGCCTGCGGGATATCTTCCATTTCTTCGCAGTAGGATCTCCATACATCTCTCTGTTTTTGTCTGACGATTTTTTTGTATTCTCTGAGGTGAGATTTATAAGTATCCCAGTCCTCTTTGAGTTTTGTGGTTCTTGCCTTATTAAAGGATTTACTAGCCATCTTCCTGAGGTGATCCAACTCGTGACACCACCATGCACTAGTCGTCTGATAGTGTTGGACCAGCATCAGGGGACAGGATTTCTTATAAGCATTGTTTATTGTGCTTTGGATAGTGTTCGAGTACTTCTCCAAAGCATTGTTATTGTTTGGTGTTTTGGCCTCCATCTCTCTCAGAGCCTCTTGGAGAAGGTGGGCGTAGATTGCCCTGTCCGTCTTCCTAGGGTTCCGAGATAGCGTGGAGGTCGGCAACATCAAGTTTATTTTGAATGTTAAGCAGCGGTGGTCTGACATCGAAATGTTATCAGACACTTGCCAGTTTAGAATTGATTTATAGATACCAGTTGTGGATAAAGTGATATCTATTATTGTTTGTCTGCGAGAGTTTAAAAATGTTGGTGTAGTACCTTTAGTTAAAATACAAAGATTTTTGGTAATTATATAATCATAAAGTGACATACCTCTAGCGTTATTATCCTTACTGCCCCAACTGAAGTGATGAGCGTTTGAGTTGCAACCTATTACTAGCTCAAACTTCTGTTCCAGGCAGTATGCAATCAGATCTTTCATTTCTTTGCTGGGTGGTGGCGTGGTTGTATCGGAAGGGAGGTATGCAGATGCCAGTATTAACGTTTTCTTTTCCCTTTTGATGGCGTATTCCATCCTAACCGCAGTTAAATCGGAGGTGGAAAGGTTTGCCATTGAGTGGGCTTTGTATTTCCTAGGAATGTAAATGGCTGTCCTAAGTCGTTGGTTGCTGGGGAAGCTAAAAGTTAAACCATTTAGATTTTTAAGACCTAAAATTTTGGTTTTTATTATCCAGGGTTCCTAGATGAGTGCTATTGTATCTTGCAGCTTATTTTTAGGAAGGTGCTTTTTAAAACTATTGCATTTTGTTTTTAAAATTTTGAGCGAAATGCGCGAAAACATTAACATTAAGCGATAAATATCATGATATCTTGCTAATATTTTTGTTGGTCTCCATTTTTGTGTTGTTTTATGTATTAAAGATCCCAACTAATTTATTTTAAATGGTGACCTACGGTCCTTTTTTTTGAAACAAATTGTCCTTGCGACTTTTCACGACAATATGAGGACCTTTTTTAAGAAAATACTTAAATCATCACCCATTGTTCTTTATTTATATTTCAAAAAGGTGGCAACTCTAGTTATCACCTAAAAATATTGCGGCCTGTGTAGCATAACAAACAGATTTATGTGGCCCGAAAGAAAAAAAGGTTGAGTACAGCTGTCCTAAATTATACTTTAGTGCTCTTAGGTTAGTTACTGTTGGATGTCCTGGACGAACAAATTTTATTACTTTTATATCAGAAAATTGTTTAAAATAAGTATGTTGTATATAGCTGACATTGTACGGTTTAGGATTTTTTTCGGACAGATCTGCAAATAGTGCAAACACTAATATAGGGAGCAGGCGCATTGAAATGTTTAGCTTTTAACATACGCTCAATTGTGGAATGCATGGAGTCACAATCAATTTGGGTATGACCCTTCTTTAAATATATTTATACAATACAAATGTTTGCAGTTACAGCAAGGTTAAGTAAAGCACTGGACATCATACATTTTTGATTCTGAGCAGCACAACAATCGCTATGTAGAATTATATTTTTGACCGAACTAAGGTCTGTGAACTTGACACCACAACATTGCAAAAAAGGGGCAAAATGTGTGAGACGTTTGTCCATCGTTTGCCCATTATTGCTCATGAACTAACTTTTTTTGCCCACCCTCTGTTTTCAAAATATATCGAAAATAATTTTCGCGGGCCAACTTCCAGACAAAAGTTAAAATTTTTATAATTTAATTTCACGGCATAATAGCATATCGTTTGCCCATAAATTAGTTTTTTTAGAAAAAAAAATTAGAGAAAATAAAAAAAACAACAAAATATTCACAAAAATTCAATATGATAACTGCATGAGATAATCATTAGTTAGCCCATGTTTGCCCATTTTTTTGTTTCACAAATTTCCATAACGATCTTCAAAAAAAATTAATAAAAAAAGGGATTTGATGACAATTCCACTATCCGAGATTTATACGAGTTTATTTGTTATTAAAAAATGGGCAAACATCGAAATGAAATAATGCCAAAATATTTGTAAATTACTAAAAAATGTTTTGCCAATTTTTTTTAAAATCCTCGTCCAATAGGGGGCTTAAACTCCGATAATAGTGCATTTGTATGTATAAAAATGGACAAATATCAAAACAAATCCAAAAAAGTGTAAGTTGCTAAGAAATGTATTCTGAGAATTACCCATTTTTAAAAAGAAAATCCTCGTCCAATAGGGGTGCTTAATCTGCGATAATAATGCATTTCTGTGGTTTTATTTGATATAAAAAAATGGGCAAACACCGAAATGCTTTAAAAATCAGTATAAGTTGCTAAGAAATGTATTCTGAGGATTGCTCATTAAAAAAAAAAAATCATCGTCCAATAGGGGGGCTTAATCTCCGATAATAGTGCATTTCTGTGATTTTATTTGATATAAAAAATGGGCAAACATCGAAATTATTCCAAAATAATTGAAAGTTACTAAGAAATGTATTCTGAGGATTGCCCATTTTTAAAAAAAAATCCTCGTCCAATAGGGGAGCTTAATTTGCGATAATAATGCATTTATATGCATTTATTACTGATATAAAAATTGCAAACATCAAAATATTTCCAAAACAGTGTAAGTTGCTAAGAAATGTATTCTGAGGATTGTCCATTTTTTTTTAAATCCTCGTCCAATAGGGGCTTACACTCCGATAATAGTGCATTTCTGTGTTTTTACTTAATACAAAAAAATGGGCAAACATCGAAATAATTCCAAAATAATTGTAAGTTGCTAAAAAAAGTATTCTGAGAATTTCTAATTTTTTAAAAAAATCCTCATCCAATAGGGGGGCATAAACTTCGATAAGAGTGAATGTATGTGTGTTTATCTGATATAAAAAAAATGGGCAAACATCGAAGTGATTCACAAAAAAGTGTATGTTGCCAAGAAATGTATTCTGAAGATTACCCATTTTTTTAAAAAATCCTCGTCCAATAGGGGGCCTTAATCTCCGATAATAGTGCATATCTGTGTTTTTACTTAATATATAAAAATGGGCAAACATCAAAGTGATTCCAAAATAATTGAAAGTTGCTAAAAAAAGTATTCTGAGAATTTCCCATTTTTTAAAAAAAATCCTCGTCCAATAGGGGGGCATAAACTCCAATAATAGTGCATTTATGTGTATTTATCTGATATGAAAAATGGGCAAACATCAAAATGTTTCCAAAATAATTGTAAATTGCTAAGAAATGTATTCTGAGAATTGCCCATTTTTTAAAAAAAATCCTCGTCCAATAGGGGGCTTAATCTGTGATAATAATGCATTTCTGTGTTTTTTTTATATAAAAAATGGACAAACATCGAAATGCTTCAAAAATAAGCGTAAATTGTTAAGAAATGTATTCTGAGGATTGCCCATTTTTTAAAAAATCCTCGTCCAATAGTAGTCCGATAGTAGTGCATTTCTGCGTTTTCAATTGATATAAAAAATGGGCAAACATCGAAATGATTCCAAAATAATTAAAAGTTGCTAAGAAATGTATTCTGAGGATTGCCTATTTTTTAAAAAAAATCATCGTCCAATAGGGGGGTTTAATCTCCGATAATAGTGCATTTCTGTGTTTTTATTTAATATAAAAAATGGACACACATCGAAGTGATTTAAAAATAAGTGTAAGTTGCTAAAAAATGTATTCTGAGGAGTGTCCATTTTTAAAAAAAAAATCCTTGTCCAACAGGGGGCTTAATCTCCGATAATACTGCATTTATATGCGTTTATTAGTGATATAAAAATCGCAAACATCAAAATAATTCCAAAAAAAGTGTAAGTTGCTAAGAAATGTATTTTGAGGATTGCCCATTTTTTAAAAAAACTCCTCGTCCAATAGAGGGGCTTAATTTGAGATAATAGTTCATTTCTGCGTTTTTATTTAATACAAAAAAATGGGCAAACATCGAAATGATTCCAAAATAATTGTAAGTTGCTAAAAAAAGTATTCTGAGAATTTCCCATTTTTCCGCATTATTTCGATGTTTGCCCATTTTTTAATAGCAAATAAACTCGTATAAATCTCGGATAGTGGAATTGTCATCAAATCCCTTTTTTTATTAATTTTTTTTTGAAGATCGTTATCGAAATTTGTGAAACAAAAAAATGGACAAACATGGGCTTAAGAATGATTATCTAATGCAGTTCTCATATTGTATTTTTGTGAATATTTTTTTTTTTATTTTCTCTAATTTTTTTTTCTAAAAAAACTAATTTATTAGCAAACGTGGGCAAAAGAAATGCTATTATGCCGTGAAATTAAATTATGAAAATTTTAACTTTTGTCTGGAAGTTGGCCCGCGAAAATTATTTTCGATATATTTTGAAAACAGAGGGTGGGCAAAAAAAGTTAGTTCATGGGCAATAATGGGCAAACGATGGACAAACGTCTTAAACATTTTTGCCCTTTTTTTGCAATGTTGTGGTGCCAAGTTCACAGACCTACCGAACTACACACATAATTCACAATGCCGTATTTGACGCCATGTTAATAATCAGGACTTATGTAATATTCATATGCATGTCAAAGTTCATAGTGGTGTTTTTAGCGAAATCTAGTGACAATTTTCGTAAACTAAGAATATATTTCTGTAGTTTTAGCCGCAGTGAACCAGATTTCGCCAAAATCGCAAAATCAAAAAATTTGGACTTATGCACTTTTTAAATTAGCCGACGCATAGTCACAAAAGTTTTGATTTTAGCTTATTATTGTCATATCTCTATATTCACGTTATTATTGTATTTGTAGAGCAATTTCGAACAAGCGGGCAATTTGTGCAAGGGCAGAAATCAACAATTAGTAGCTATAGAAAGCCTTGATGAAAATAACAATATAATGAAAGAATTGAAAAAATTAGGTAAGTACCTATTTTTTAGTTAGATATTTAAAAATGTATGTTAAAGTACTCGTGTATTTGAATTCTATGTGTAGGTCTGTATAATATTGCAATAGTTCCACCCTAGATAAGGCAGACCTATTATAATACTCTCCGAGCATTATGCGTTGTGATTTCAATAGCTTCCTACAATAATTTTAATAAAACTAATGCCTAAATAAATAAATAAAAAGAAATAAAATTCAAAAAAAAAAATCTGATCCTCTTCCTTCTTCTATAACTCTCCTACACCTACTCCAATTTCTCTAGCTCCTATGTTCCTTCCTCTTATTATAATTCCTATCTTTTTGACCTCCTATTCTCTTGCTTACTGCTCTTACTCCTATCCCTTTTTATTATTCCTTGCCTGTCACCTCCTGCCTTGCTTACCAATTTATCCTACGTTTTCTATTCTTTTGTTCTTTCTTTTTTTTTTATTTTAAATAAAATTCTATTTCTTACCTGTTTTATTTTATTCCTACAGTTTTCAAATCAATCAAACTATATCTCCAATGTAAATAACTTCAAAAATTCTAACATAAAACCCCCTCTGACAATTCCCATCTCACAATTAAATAATCTTTCATGACAATCTCCCAAAATTAGGTATTTTCCTTTGCATCGAAAGGGTAGCACTGAGCAACACCACTTCTGAAAATATCGTTCCATTTATACAAATTGTGTGGTTGACTTGGCTTTATTAAATAGCATTTGCACTTCACCTCTAAGATGTTCCAAGTGTTTGTTCCACCAGACTGTTTTTGTTCTTTGCTGCCTTGTTTTCTCCGGACAGCTTTCCTTGTAAGCGGTTATAATAGCCTTACTTACTTAGACTACTGCTCGGTTAAGGCTTTTTTCACCTATTATTTCTACCATACTCTTTCCGAGATACTCTTTAAGTAATGTTGAATGCTTTTCCACAGTTCATCTCTCTAGGGTTTCTGTATTTGGTTGAAATTCGTGGTGAGGTAAGTAAATCAAATCTAATCTCTCTATGGTCTGAGCACGATGGCTTGTCTGACATTTTGACACTTTGAAATGTTATCACTTGCTTTACTCGAGCACAGTCATATCTAGGACTAATTTTCTCGTTGCTACGACGAAAGTTGATTTGTTACCTATATAAGCAATTACTAAACCTTCAGATAAGATGAATTGTAATAAAGGCTCACCTGTTGAATTGATGTCGGTGCTTCTCTAAATGTATGGTGGGCATTGGCATCGCATCCTATGATAAGCTGGAGGTTAGCCGTTGCCGCTTATGAGATTATTTTGACTATTATATGCGGGGAACATAGTTTCTTGCCTGGGAAGTATGTAGAAGAGACTAGCCATCTTTTTGTTCCTTTCTTTGTAGGCATAGCTGCGAGAGCTGTAACAATATCAGCGGTACACAGCACCGGTATTAGTACACAATTTATCCTATTTTAGACCTTTCGTTATACAATTAATATCTTACCTTGGTTGGGTTTTAGGCCTGCTATCCTCCCGCCATGTAACCAGGGTTCTTGCAAGAGGAAAAATCTAGACCCTTTTTGTCGAACCTCCTACATACTGTAGCGTTGGCCACCTTGGCATGATGGAAGGTCACCTGAAGAACCCTGATCGATCTACTCAGTTCTGTGAACTGGGTTTTTAATACTTCTGAAAAATGCGTTAACAAAAATTTTAGTCGTGTGCTTGACTGTTTTGCTTTTAACTGTCATACAGTTTGCTGTTTGGTTGATAATTAATTCAAGACTGTAAAAGAGAGTACAGTCCTCTAATTTTACCTGTAAATAACAAGATGTTTTAAACTCTCTAACCTAGAGCATTTTACCATACCGGCATTGTCCTTCTGAACGGGGTCGCCCGGGGAGAATGTCTGCGTTGCTATGGAGACGGCCTCTTCGATGCTCTACTTCCTGGTTGTTGCTAGAAAGCTACCTAGGTGTGGGTTATCGGCTTTTCCGGGACGCATAGCTGCTGCAATTATTTCTTGTACTTCTCGACGGGCTTCGGGAGATTGATCTATGTGACTTTCTGGCCTTGATTCTTGATTTATAGAGTGAGCCTTGTTTCTGCAGGTCCTTTGAAGGCGCCCGAATCTTCCGCAATGAAAGCATATCCTGCTTCCATTTTGGCTGTTTCTTTGCATATTTTGCAGGATATTTAAGATTTGTGAGAATGTAGGTTGGAAAATAGTATTAGTAATGGCCTCCTCACTTACCTAGGAAATAGTTTCTCTTACTCTTACGCGAGAAGATTTGGATAGAAGTTTTACTGCTTCATATTCCTAGGCTGCAATCAGTTTTTCCCTCAGAGTCTTGTGATATTGTAGACGAAGGGGTTGCCACATCTCCACATCTTGTAGTCCATCAATGAATTCCTGTATTTCGATTTGTTCTTGGAAATATTTGGGCGCCTGTGGATAGGCCAGATGAATTTTCTTTTGTCGGTCTCGAATTCCTGTAGACTCTCATTATGTTTCTGACTACGAACCTTTAGCTGGCTTTGAAATACCCGTTTCAAAAGCTGCTGGCCATATCTTGTCTCCAAAGCTACCTGTTTTGAAGAATCTACTTCATCTTCATGCTCACCATTTCTGTCCCTTTTTCTTCGAATTATTTTCACATATGTACGAATCGTGTACATTGCCAACGCAGTCCGTCATTTCTATCGAATATTCTAACGTACAGCTTGCAGCAAGTCAAATTGTACGTAGTGTGAATTTACAATTATTGTTTTTCTTTATTTTACGTCTTGGTCACACTTGAGTTTGGAAGTATTTATCTTGTTTAAAATCGGTTGTCCAAGTAGTAAATTACAAACCAAAATTTTAATAATATTATTGATTTTTAGTTGATGTAAGCACTGAATTATGGACATCAGGATCAAAACAGGCTAATTCAAACAAATGGATATGGTCATCCACAAACGAAGAGATTACTGATTTCGACTGGGGTACCGGTGAACCAAACAATAAAGATGGGGTTGAGAATTGTATAGTCTTCTATCCAAACACTGACTTGTATTTTGAAGGTTCATGGGCTGATATAAATTGCAACCTATCAGTAGCCCTTCCGTTCTGTCAAAAGGCCTCTAAAAATTAAATCCACAAAATATTTATTGGCGTACTTATTATAATAGATTGAAATAAATGAACCAAAAATACTTACTAGTGTTTTTTATGTTAAGGTTGGATTGTATTTAGATTAGCTACATGAAAATTAAAGTATAGGGGTCTTCTGGGGGTTTAGCGAGCACAATGGACCCAAGCCACCGCCTGTGCAGGATACTTGACCTAGTTATGGACTGTATCATCTCATGGCAAAATAAATATTGACCGCATATAAAAATCGTTAAATCAAAATTATAGGCTACTTTGGCTAAACTAATATTAATACTTCCTGTTTAAATTTGATAACATAGAGGTGAGTATAGTGTCCTTTCACACACAAGGACCAACGAGTCACTTGTTTCGATTTTCACTATACACATTGCCTTTCTCGCCACGCTAGTCACTCCATCTTCGAACTTCAAACCGTCAACATGCCTTCGTAGGGGAATATATATTTCAGGTCAATCGCTCCTTTTGCGTCCTATTAAACTTTCAACCATATCACTTAATATAAAATATATAATAACATGGAGTCGTGAATTTCTTACAACCAAGTATATTATTTATTTAAAAGAAGTATAAATGTGTATATAATTGTGTAATCGTTTTGTTTTTAAAATAAGTGAATAAACCAATGTTCCGTTTCTCATGAACAAAAGGTTCTTTTCGAGAGGTATGATTACAGTTCATCTGTACCGACTTCAGCCAAAGAATAAACAGGAGATTTAATCTTCAAAAGTTTACATTCCCTATAATTCACCCCATAAGGAGTAAACACTTTAAATCAAAGCTCGTAGAGGAGAAGGGACGATTATTACGTGATACTCCAGAGCAAATAACATGTGCTTGCTTACATTTGATTTAGAGATGAGAAAAGCACAAAAAACACTACCCGATATCATCGACGCTATAGTCTACATTAAATTACTTATGCTACCTATAAAATCGTATTTTTTATTTTTGACAATAATGGCGAAACGCAATTGCAAAAAAATAAATAAATATTGTAAATAAAATAATTAAGTACAGGGAGGGGCAGACGATAGATAAATAAAAAGAGATGGTTTGAATTATAGACGGGACTTGTTTCCTAGTTTGTAGTTAACCGTAGGCGCGGAGCGCCTCTGCAAACACTAATAATAAAGCCTTCTTACACCCATACAATGAATGGATTATTCTAGTAGTTTCAAATACTAACAAAACTGTTTCTCGAATTTGAGCTGCTATTTTAATCTACAAGAAAATATACAGTTTTTGAATAGTATATATTGCAAATTGTTTCTTTAAATTTACCTTTGATTCAGAAGACCTATTGAACGTGTATATGTTACTAAGATTTGATCAATAAATAATTTTTATAAAATCTAAATGAACCCTTCCGAAACACGGTTATGTGCGACGTTATATCATGCGGATCGAGGGTGTATTGGTTATACAGTGTGAATGATGAATTTATCTTATTAATAGCAGCTTAGACTATTACCTAGTCTAAGATTAGCAGAGATCAGTAAGGGAGATAGAGATAGAAAACGCTCATAAGAAGCCAATGCTTAACAACGACCAGCTTTAACCCAGTTAACATCTGACCCACTATGAAGCGCTTTCATCGATATCAAACAATGCAGCGGGAAATTTAAAAATCTGATAATAAAGGTTGTATAAATATCGACTGCACTCTCATGTACTTGTAAATAAACTTAAACAATATAATTATGCTAAATTATTTATTACACTTACAGTCTATTATCGATTAGTTATTGTAAATCTATATTCATGACAAATATTTTTTAATTTTTGTTCGTCATTTGTAACATTACATTTTTGTTTTTATTTTCCAAACGAAAGGCCAATGGTATCTTATTTAAAAATGTTAAGTGCAAATTTAATAATGGAAATTTAGATATTTTTCTTCCTATATCAAATCTTCTTTCTAACGTTTTGAAGCCATTTTCTAATTCTAAAACAATAAATAATACATAAATACCTACTTTGTGACACATTTTAGATAATTAATAAACACATTCCAAAAATATATGATTATTTTATTACCAGTCCTAAACAATCTCTCACGGGGGATCTCCTAATTGCAATAAAATGTTCTTATAACAAGGCAAATTAATGAAAACGGTAGGTACAAAAATGTTGAATATGTAAACCTTAATTACCTATATGAATAAGTGTTGTACTAAACTTATATTACTTTAATCATTTACAAAATAAATCAAATGTTTGTAGGTGTAGCTACAGATAAAGAAACCCGAAGGAAACGTAGGTCTTTTTAAGTGTGAAAATTTTATTAGTATTCGTCAAGAACTTGCATTATAAATGTATAAAAAGCACAACTTATTATCGATCATTCCATTGTTCTTCTTTACATTTATATTATCTGGATGATGTTTTAACAGCTGACCTGCTAAATCTAATAAAATGTACACACAAACACCCTTAAGAAATTGAAAATACCTTTAATCGTTTCTTTTGTTCATCTGCAAATTGTTATAAAAGCCTATAACAGCAATTAATTAGCGTTTATATTATTTAATTTCTACATCATCTACTTCTACTTTTAATATCTCTAAATTAACATTTGACAATGACATCAGTAATTCATTCATATCTAAGATCAACAATAACTAGACTAGACAACAATAACTAGACTAGACAACAATAACTAAACCTCAATAAAGATGAAAAAAGCATTACATTCGTCATATATATCATGCTCCGTGAACATTAGTATAATAACCTGTCAAATGATTGACCAATCATATAATGGCCAGATCTTGAAGTTGGATATATGTTGATGTTAATATATACTTTATCTAGCTCTTTTAATGGGGTTCCACTAGAAGCGCTCGATTTTTGTAACGCAATAAAACAAATTGTGAGAATGATAGGATCTATTTTAATTTTTATTATAAAGTACATGTTTTAACATTATGTTTTAAAAATTATATCAGGTAAATGTACGCTGCGGCTTTTCCTGGTTTGTTGAATCCTGAATACCCAATTTGTGATGACGTTATCGCATAAAAGTGGTGAAATTTCAGCAATAATGCGCCTAATGTTATCCGGTGGCGTTAGGTCGCAGGATCTAGGCGGCCAATTAACGTCATCATTTCGCGATGTAACGGAAACTTTAAATAGTTCATGCAATAGTGTCAGGGTAGATCATCTATCATTGACCACATCCTCTTGACAGATTCCTGTACATGACTGGTTGCTGATAGATGTTTCATTGGAGAGACAATCACCACCGATCATCTTCCTTTGATGTTACACACATCTCTCTTTGCACCGATTCCACCAAGAGCTACTATATATACCTTCGAAATCTCAAAAAAGCAGATTGGCCACTATTACAGAGAATCATCTCTGCAAACATTCCTGAACAAGGCCCTCTTAATTCTCGACAAGACATCGACACAATGGTTGACGAAGTCCAAACCACCATCACCCACGTCGTCGAAACAACCACCCCAATCACCTCCATAAAGACAGCACACAAAGCCCTCCCTCAATTCATCCTAACTCTAATATCCCAAAAACGACGATTGTATAGACAATATGTCCATATCCACGACCCAGTCATCAAAACTGAATGGAACAGCCTTAATGCCCTGATCAGGCTCCAAACCAACTTACACAAACAGCAACTATGGATCAATACCACTTCTTATTTGGATCATAGAGGCGGTTCCAAGTTTTCTGAATCATCACGGGTCAAAAATCCAAATCACGCTCCCACCTCCAAATCGACGAATAAATCCACTCAACCCCTGACGAAAAACCCAATCCCACAAAACCCACCTTCAGAACCCCCGACAACTCCCACTTTGACGAACAATTCAAACACGAGACCAAACAATACGTCCTTTAGACACCCGTTGACCCAGTCTCACTTTTGGATGTCGAAAACCCCCTCACTTCCCCATTTACCCTCCAAGACATCTAATATGCCTGCCAAGCTGGCAAAAACACAGCCTCCGGGTCCGATTCCATTCACAGATGAACGCTGAAACTTCTTCCTGAAACCATCTTTCCCACCCTCACTCCCTGTCTCTCCCTCCCCTATTTTTCACTTGCCTGGAAATCCGCCAACACCATTTTAATCTTCAAACCAGGCAAAGACGTCAAATCCATAAATTCATACAGACCCATGTCTCTCATATCAGTCATAGGGAAACTCGAGCTTCTACTCAAGGAAAGAATCTGGGAATTTTGTGAAGAAAGAAATATCATCCCTCAATCCCAACATGGTTTTAGACCTCACCACTCCACAAAGGACGCAATCTCCTCCCTTCACACTACTGCGGCCACTGCAGTAAATTCTCAACAAATTTCTTTAGCCGTTCTCTTATATGTTCAAAAAGCCTTCGACCAAGTCTGGCATGCCGGACTAGTCAAAAAGCTTATGAATATAGGTCTCTCCCCAAATTTTCAAACTCATACATCTCCAACACCTCCATCCTCATAAGTTTCCAAACCCTCAGGAAACAATACTTCTCTCGCACGCTTAAAGGCATCAACACACACTCACAAGACACACTACGAACCCCATGGCGCCCAAACCAACTCCCACTTTTTCGAAAACCGAAAAGAAAAATTTAGGTTTTTTGTGGTTTCCCAAAATGATATTCCCCACCTTATACTTGGACTTGTACATTTATGAGGTTGGCGATATTTTGGGGAACACACAGGTCCCACACACGCGCACATGACATATTAGGAAATAGCTAGGCTAGGTTGCTTATTGTAATCAGGTCAGACCACCCTGAGAAGGAGGTTAACTCCTATAGCAGGGAATTAGGAAAATAAAATGTCCTAGGAAAATATAAAACTTATGAAAAAGTCAATATTAAACTAAAAAAAAAAACGTCACAGGTCAGTTTTATAATAGACGTTGTACATTCATGTTATCAGTTGTATAGTTGAATTGTAAAAGTTCAGTTGAAATAAAAGGGTTCGCAAAAACCAGCGCAACAATTTATTAAAATAACTAGGATAATATAACAAATACTATACTTAGTTATAAGCTTACTTTAAAGTAAAGAAATAGA